GCTTAGGTTGTAGGTTACAAATTAGGAGTGCTTCCTTTTTTCTTACCATCGATTCATCTTTCACTGAGTCTATTATTCCAACAGCTCTTTCAGTAACTCTGGAATTTACAACCACCTAAGCAAAGACTGTATCGAAAAACTGAACAATGAACACTTCAGAATAATAGACTCGGAAAAAAGATGAATGGATGTTAAGAAGAAAAAAAAGGAAAGCACTCCTAATTTGTAACCTACAACCTAAGCTGAACAATCAACTAGCTACATCACTGCATCCCACACTATGATCAACTCATCATGCTTGAGTTGAGCAAAAAGTGAAAACTTCATCCAAGAAACAAGTGTTAATCTCTACTGAAATGGAAAAAAACTCTTATGTGATTATCTAGATAGATTCTCAGAGTAGTTGAACTAAAAAACAACATGAATTTATTTGGTATTTAATAAATTTCAGGCCTATAGTGCTGTGTTTTATAACTAATTGAATTCCTTTCTTAAGTACATATAAAGACTGCTTATATAAAAAACAATACAGAATAAGGAAACATATTCAGACTTTTGTCTGCTACTAGTTAAATGCATTTGTATCATCAATAATTTTATGTGAATACTGGTTTAGGCTTAGTTTTTAATTTTTCAAAATAATATTTTTTGACGTGTTCTTTTAAGTATTTATTTGATAATGATTTACTTTGGTTGAAAAATCTTCCTGGATGGTATTAACTTATGCAGTGCTTTATTCTCAATCATACTTTGCCACTTATTCTTTATTTGTGCTATAATGCCAGTCAAGCTACAAAAAAACTCCTGATTCAGTGAATAAATTGCCTGAGCTGATACTGTTAATGAGGTATATTTTCTACAAATTTTAAGGTGTACTTTACAGAGTTTGTTTATTTGTGTAGCCTATAAACTAAATTCTTTGAGTATATGTAATGTAGAATAGATTTGAGTTTGTTACAGAAGATTTTAGTTTGTAATCTATAAGCTGTCTTCTTTCAATTGTTTAGTGTGGAATAGTTCTGAGTTTGTTACTGGTTGTGTTAAGTGGAATCCTCTCTCGTGCTACTTGTCATCTACTCCTTAAGGGAGCAATTATTACTCGACGGAGGAATTTTGAATATCTTGGTGAGTGAGATCATTGCTCTACTTCATGAAAGATTACATTATGACTAGAATACCATATGTAATAATCATAAAACGAATTACATGTATAAAAGGACTAGGAAATACAGCATTATATAAACATTACATATGTTTTCAAATATTGTTACTAAATGTAGTAATGTTGCTATATTGTCTTATTATGTTACAATGATGTTTGCTATGATTTATTACTTCTCATGAATGAGGTAGTGTGGAATATTATTTCATTAACAGTAAAAACTTTACATGATTTTCAAGGGTTGTATTTTTTTAAAACTCTTATTCCATCCTCTTCCCCATATGAATTTGGAAAATCACATACAAAGGTCCTTCCACTCATTTTAGTATACATACACTTTCCTTTGATTTTCTGTGGCTGAACTATTAAAATTATGTCACTATCTAATTCTGTCTTTTAAGTGTATGTAGCAAATTTTAATCTGTGACTACTTTAAATTGTCAGGACATGTAAAAATAAAATATCTTCTTTGTGATCTTATATGAACAATACTCCAAATTATATCATCTACTGTATCTTATGTACAGGTTACTCCATCCTTTGTTTCCTGTAGTTTCTTGGAAGTTTAACTGTTAACAACTGAGAAAACTCAGTTTCGTCATTAATATTCCATTCTTGAAAAGCTTGTTTCTAAGAATGTTAAGACTTCTTATTTCTAGACATCCTAAAATAACATTTCCTTTTTCTGCACTGATTACATTTGGATTATTATACACTTAAGACAATGTTTTCCACTTCCACATAGGAAGATGCAATATTCTGGCCAAATATTGTGCTTCTCTTTTCATCAGCAGATTAGAGGATATCTGTAAAACAGTTTATTGTGAGCCCCTCACAAGTTTTTAAAATAGCCATTAAATAATTCAAAGATAAATGCAGAATGACTTCAAAGTGGACCTCAAAGTGTAACACTTGTAACCAGATGAGTTATTTGATGCACCTTGAATATCATCTGTAGTGATCTGAACAGGAGCTGCATCTTCAAAACAAAATAATATCAAAGTATATCTGTATAATTACTTTTAGTTTTGCTGATGCAATAATGTAGCAGAATAAAAATGCCTTCAGTGATCCTAATCAAGTGTTTCAGTAACCTTGTAGGAAGAATACCATTCAAACAAAATAGACTAAAAAGAAAGAAGTCATAAACTCCATTCTGAAGTTTGTAGTATTTTTGTTCGTCTAATGAGCATGTTTTTTTTAAACTGTCTTGGTTGGGTTTATGTTCTGTATTTGCAAGTTTAAAAAGTTTGTTTTGTTCCATTGTAGAATGGCAGAATAGGGAATGACACAAATTTCAGTTTCTGGAATTACTTATTGTAAATCATGCTGTTAGTGGTGTTTAGGCTTTATTTTCAGAACTTTTAACATTAAACTTTCAGTCATTGTTATAAGATAATAAATATATAGTGGGAACACAGTACCTCTACTAATTTTATCTCTTTTGAGTTAGGAGAAAGGTAAGTGTTTGATGTGGAAGCTCATCAAAAACTTTTTAAATTACATTCCACTAATGATGTTCTGCAAACAGCTTTAAATCATTATATTTTTAAAAGAGATTCATATTATTTTTAACAAACATTTTGTGTACTTAGGTTGTAACAATGACCTTAGTAGCATCAAAAAACCTAATGTGTTACGGGCTTTTAAAGTACATTAAAGATTTTTATATAGTGATTTTATGTCTACTTCTGTGACATTAAAAATGCAGACATTTTTTACAGGTTATCATTCATATTCTTTTTAATTATATATAAAAATTATTGGTGTTTTCTTTGTAGAGATAATTGTCAGTTAGTAATATCTCTTGTAACTTTTTTTAAGATCTTGAAATGGAAAATAATTAGGGATTTTTTAATAAACTTGTTACATGGTAAATTGAGACTTATTGAAATACAGCACTGGAAAAAAAAAGTTGTGGTATATGAGTCATACAGACTAGGCCTGTGTTAAGAGATCATTAAACTGAATAAGGAAAGAAAGAATGGATGATTTACTATATGCCATATAACCCTTTTCTGTTTATTGTAACTTCAATTTGACATTGTGAGAGTAGATCAACATTTTTGAAAAGTTTCTCTTCTTTGTTTGAGCTTAATTATAACTATTAGAAAATAGTAAATTTAACTTAATAGACAATCTGTTTGATGTTAGCCAAATTGAGAATAATGAGCCCTGAAGAGTTAATTATAAAGTGATTATGAAGCTAAAAAAGTTCGAAGTTTGCTTTTTGAACTTTTATTGTTATATGTCCCTTTAATGAATGAAATAACAATATGAATTTGAAAAGAGAATTTTAAATTTAATGAGGCCTGATTATGTTAATATTACAACTTTTTGTTTTTGTTTATTTGCATGAGAGTAAATTTGTTTAACTGAAAATGCTGCTCTAGTTATATTTGTTAACATTGAAAATAATTGTGACTGTTTATGATAAACTTGAAATACTGACTAGTGACTTCTAAAATATATATTTTTATACACTGGTATTGTGCAAAAGGTTAATAACAATTTATAGGAATGATTTGCATATGCTAATGCAGTGGTGAAAACCACCTTAGTGTTATGACTAATATGTCTGGCACTTGCATATTTAGTTCTCATTAAAGTTCTTACCATTAAGTAATGAAATGCTTCCACTTAAAGACTTATGGTTGAAGGATTACATCACAGCCATTTTCACAGAATTATATTTCTATAGTGAAATAGCAAAGAGATGCAAAGCTTGGGGTCCATCAATTTCAAATATAGTGAATAGCATCAGCAATGAAAGGTCAACATTCTTACATAAAGATATATATAAACATCTTGTTCTGTTACATATCAGGAATGATGTTGCCATTTCCAAAAATTGCACATTGTCATTTGGTATGTAACTTACTGCCACCAATAAAATGATTGAAAGTATCCCACTTAAATGTGTCCAAGATAATTCACAAAGATTTTACCCTTGTAAAGAAGTATAATCCACAGAGTATGAAATCAGTATTTTTTGAAAACATCTGACCATGAATCCATGGACTACTGTGCATTTAATGTGCTTAAGATTGGTCTTGGTTTGTCAAGATGTTTGATGTAAGAGTGATCTCATCATCTTTCTTAGAAGCTTGTTATAACAGACATTGCAGTATCAGATAGTAATGTGTAACCATGGCATTGGATTGAACATAAATAGGCCTGGCATGGCCAGGTGGTTAGGGTGCTCGACTCGCAATCTGCTTGTCACGGGTTCGAATCACCGCCCCACCAAACATGTTCACCCTTTCAGCCGTGGGGACATTATAATGTGACTGTCAATCCCACTATTCGTTGATAAAAGAGTAGCCCAAGAGTTGGCTGTAGGTGGTGATGACTGGCTGCCTTCTCTCTAGTCTTACACTGCTAAAAGAAATTCAAAACAAATAAATATTGAACATAATCAATGATGGAGGAAGTGGCTCTTAGAGCAGTATGAGACCAGGAATATTGTCCTTAAAAAGTGATTTACCACTCCACAGACCTGCCAACATTTGGATAAAACATTTTACAGACAAAAGAACTTTGTTATTTGACCATTTTATTATGCAAAAATTTAAACATAGTATACACAGAAATGTTAACCTTTTCATCCTCTTACAAATTTTTACCTTTTATATTTTGTTTGCTTGATATAATGAATTAACAGGTTTCTGTGAAAGTTCCTCTAATTTATTTCAGCTTTCCACACCTATGGCTCAGCAGGAAAGTTAGTTGTTGAAGTTGGGTGAGTATGTTACACCAAAAAGATTTTATTATAAAATTAGCACAAATGAATTTAATACTTTGATTTTTAAAATGTTTATTTTAAACATTTTTTTAGTCTAATAACCGAGTATACATTGGTGCACTGACTTTCATCTATGGGTAATCTATAATATATATTTAAAAAAAAAGAAATAAATTATATAGTTGAAATGAAAATGGAAAAATGGTAAGTTTTGACAAAATAATTTACCTAATAATCTCTAACTTGTTTTTCATTAATATTTTGTTTTCTGGCACCATGATATCACCGACCTGTCAAGTAAGTTTAAATAATGCTAGAGCTAGACTTTATCTCAACAAAAATATTAAAAATAAACACACATAGAAAGAAAGAAAATTAAGCACAATTGTTTTGGCATTTTTTCAGCTTGAAATTTTAATGTTGTCACTTAGTCCACACGAACGTTTCTATTTAACAATTTTTCAGGATCAAATTATGATATTTATTAACTTATCAAAAGTTATTTATTCCCCCATTCAGTAACATTCTGGCTCATTTAGATTGCACATAGTATTTAAGAAAAGTGGTTGCACACTCTAAGCAAACTGTTGGTCTCAGTAATTTTCTCTTATTGTTTATTAGTATTATATGAAGTCTCAGTAATAATTAAGATGAAATAGTAATATTCAACTGTGTTTGTTTTAGTATACCTCTGAAACATATAGAACCATGTATCAACTTATTTAAGTTAAATGAAGATCTTTACTGATAAATGTGTAGCAATCTACTACACAGAGTCATCATAGTATTCATGCATAAGTTATAAAATGAAAAACCAGTTTTTTATTATTAAGGTTACATGAAAACATGTTGAGTTGCATCCTCTATCCTAAAGAGAAACTGTAGTTTTCATAGATACCTGAATACCATTCGTATTAAAGGTTCACTGTAGAATACTTATTTGGAAAAAATAAATACAAAAAAGCTTCTGTTAAGCCAGTGTTTATACACTTGTTATTATCAACATCCATTATTGATGTTAACATCAGCAGTTACTGAACTGGTTTTTAAAGACAAATCATATTGCAGTGTGAATAAGGTAGGCTTAAAGATTTACTATCTTATAGCAGACTCTTGACCAAATGGATACATAAGTGCTTATATTTCAGATGTCTGTTATAAAATTTCAAGAATAAAGTTTACAGTAACAGTAACACATTTTAATAATGATGTGAATTGAATAATTCTATATGTAAATGAAAGACGTAAAGATTACTTTTAAACAATTGTAAGATGTCCATACTTTTAAACAATTAAAAGAGGCAAGATGAACATATCTTTCAGGATTATACATAAATCAAAAACAAATCTTAAACAAGAGTTGGTAATATTTAATATTTGCAAGTAGACCAAATAATAAGTGTATAAAAATAAATGTAGAAACAATTGGCATATACCATATCATGTGTACTACGTGTAATCACATCTGCTTAGGTTGAACATGTCTTACACAGCAAGTTTATTGAACACTTGTGAACAAATTAAACAACGAATTCAGTTCAGTTGTATGTCACTACAAACTATTACTTTTAATACCTGTTATAGTTTTTGAAAGTATCTGTTACAATCTTTTTTTTTTCTTTTTGTATATGTGTGTATTATTTATATTATTCAACATAACACCTTATATTTTGCATGGAACAAAAGTTTCTATTGTATTGTGAGTTTATTTGCTTAGGTGTAAGATTACTTCTGACAAATGTATAAAAATTAAACAATGAGAAAATTCATTTTTGTTTCTGTGTAACAGTATTTGTTTCAATACTACTATGTCAAGCATGTCTGAATACTCCAGTCAGTGTTGATAAATCTGTGGTAAAAATTGAAATTGTTTTCAACTTATTACATAAATGAACTCAAATGTTAAAATGTATGTGTAAAAAAAATCATTGTCCATTCCGTGAAGGGACATATTGTTGAATAGTTTTTATTTTTAGATAATATTGTAATGTAAACTGCACATCATACACCAAGGAAACTGTGTTCTAATGTTTGAATAGACTTTCTGATAGAATGTTATCTTTGATGACTCAATTGGTTTTGATTTAATTATTCCATTTTTAAGCTGACTGGTTGTTCATTCCTGGAAATTGACTCTGTATCCACAAAAATCATAAATATATTAAAATTATAATCTTTGTTTACACCTACACCTGTAGTACACAATATAAACTTTATCCCAATAACATTCATTTATGGCTCTTAAAGTCTTCTGAAAGCTTTGTTTTTCTTTTCTTTTTAATTGAATTATTGAAGTGTAACTTATAAGCTATTTATAGCCAGCTGAAGTTATGTTGTATGCTTGGAATTAGAACAAAAAACCAGTCTATTTATCCTGTTTGCAACTAGAATGACATATGATTTTTTTTCTTAATTTTTAGTTGGAATTTCTTGGAAAACTGTATTTGGTTCCTTTCTCACTTTGCACTTATAATTTATCCAGCAGAATTATAGTAAATGTGACTTAAACATCTAGAAAAATGTAGAAGGACAAATGTGCAGTCACAAATTGCTTATATTTCTATTTCTTAATATTTTTCAGCATCATTGGGTTTTTGATTGGAGCATGTATTGCATTTTTTGTTGTGGTTGGTGATCTGGGTCCTCCTCTTGTGGCTGATATGCTGCTACTTAAGGTAAGTGTTTTTTGCATTTTTACCTTTACATAAATATTATCAAAGATTACATGAAAATAAAAGAAAAAGTAGGGAGTCTACAAATTTGGATTGTGTGTGAAACTAAATATGACTGTTTCAAAAGGCAACAGAGTTACAGCTGACAGTGTGGATAACAAGTTTTTATAGACATTTGATTAATTATATATACAATAAAACATTTGTATTTATTTTATTATCAGAATTTAAGTAAAATTCATAGCCAATCAATTTATATAAGTACATTTACAACAGTTGCACAATTCATTGTTAAAATGCTATAAACAATTCCAATTCAATACCTTACCTCCTCTCACATATTAGCCAGCTTTTCCCAATTTTATGCTGCTTTCTATGTGCAATGTTTTTACTCACCATTATCCATGAAGCTCCCACTTAAACTCACATATTTCCATGTGCTATTGCTGCACTGTAGCATACAAATAAGCATGCAACAACCCTTCACCAAAAGGAATTTGACACACCCTCCTAGTGCAGGTGACTCTCTTTCTGTGCAACTGTTCTAAATGTACTTAGATAAATTGATTGGCTATGAATGTTGAGTCATCACCTCTTGATCTGGCACTTGTGTGTAACAACATGTCATTTTTTCACTCATGTACTTTTCAGATATTGTAGTTTTTTAATTGGAAATATCTACAAAGACATTACCTATTGTGGAAGTACTTATTATTGGAATTTTGCTTTCCAACATTTTCTACACCTGCAGATGTTATTATTTCATGAGTGTATGTAACTTCCACTTTGTTTGGTGTGAGACAACAATGTTGTTCATGCTTCTGTAATAATTACATTGGCATCAGGTTTGTCTTTATCTGTTTGTAACAGCTTTTGTAAAGTGGATGGTGGAGTCTTTCACGTGGCCATCTTTTGTACCTGACATACCTCTGCCTATGTTTCTCATTCATGATGGAAGAGATTTTGCCAGTTTTTTTACTACCACCTACCTTTGCCTAGTCCTGTACCCATGCTGTCTTGACTATCCCAACCGTTTTTGATGGTGGAGTCTTTCATGCGGCCATCTTTTGTACCTGACATACCTCTGCCCATGTTTCTCGTTCATGATGGATTGATTTTGCCAATTTCTTACTACCACCTACCTTTGCTTAGTCCTGTATCCATGCTGTCTTGACTGTATCCCAACCATTTTTTAAATTTTGGGACTGGGTTTCTCAGGTATATTTCTTTCCTTCTCTTTTTTATTCATTCTCTGCATCTTGCTTTTATGTTTTTTACTTCCTAACAAGATATGCATGTGCATATTCAATTATTTTTACCACTACTTTGGTGCATGCATACCTTGTCCTCCTTTCTTTGTTACCTCATATGACTAGGCATAACTTTGTGCTGTATTGCCTTTTTTTGACTCCTAAACTCTGGAATTCTTTTCTTCAGACTTGGGGTTCAGATCCTCTGTCTTATGTTCATCTTTCTTAGGCTTAAGTTTCCCACCTTTGTCTTACACTCTCTACCCTTTTCCTTTATTTGTCCTCCGTTCACCTTTCCATGGTAATCCACCATTCCCCTGAGGGGTTTATGGCAGATGCTCATTCACTTATTTTCTCTACAGTGACATGTTTGTCTTCCTCAGTCTTATCACTTCATATTTGGTTGATCTGTTGCTAATGCCCCCCAGTGGAACAGCGGTATGTCTGAAAACTTATAACACTAGAAACTGGGTTTCGATACCCATGGTGAGCAGAGCACAGACAGCCCATTGTGTAGTTTTGTGCATAACTACAAACAAACAAACTGTTGCTAGAGTTTGTTGGAGTGGAATGCTCTTGTTACTCAAGTGCTTTTGCCTCCCTTTTATCTCATCTGCCTTTGTGATTTTACTGGAGTAATTGTTTCTTTGGAGTCATATTTTGGGGCTGCATACAAATATCCTCACTGGTTTACTGTCTCTCCCATGCTCTTTCTTTGCCTCATTTTGTCTCCTGTCCTCTTCTTTCTCTTTTCTCCTTGTCACCACATCCCATTCTTCTGTCCTCCCACTGCTTGGAGATTTCAGTGCTGTCAATCTTGGAGGTGACTATCATATAGGCTCAGAATCAGTAGGGTCTGTTTGGTTCAGTTTGTGGACCTTTACCCTCCATTTGTGGCCAATTGTTGAGTACTTGGAGTTCTGTCAGAGAGTCTTACCCTTCATTTTTTTATCTCCTGTTTCTATTACTTTTCCTCTTCCAATGGATCTTGTTTCTTGTCAACATCAGTTCATGGCAGTGTTGGACCTAATGGCTAAAGATGCTATCAGATGTGTTTCTGGCATCTGATAGAGGATGCATCTGGTCTTAAATATTTCATGTCTCAGTCAGTTTTTGACCTCTCTTGATTTACCATGGGACTTTTCTCACCCTACAGTGGTCTTTTGCCTCAGGTCTTGGGATGATTGAGGTGGACATCTCAGATGCTTACTTTCTCATTTGTTTCTGCTCCAGCAAGCCTCCTTCAGCCATTCTCTTCTCCTTCTTCAGTATTCAGCACATCTGGGTTAGTTGGTCAACCTGGAGAAATCGCACCTCATACCCATTTAGTTTTTCAGTTTGCATCTCCACAGGGCCCATTTTTTTTCTCTTCTTTTGAGGGACATGAGCGAATCATTTCCCATGTTCTATCCTCTCCTCACTCACTGTGGTAGAGGTTCTCTCTCTTTTGGGGACTTTGCTTCCATGGAATCCTGTATCCCCTTGGCTCTCACTCACATGTGGCATCTACAGTGGACTCTGCACAATCACAGGATCCTTTGTCCTCCTTTGTTACTCGAAGACTTCACTTGGTGATTTGATAAAACCAAGATCATAGAGGATGTTCTTCTTTCTTCCTATTGTCTGGGTCTCCAACTGTTTCCAGATGCCTCCTTGATGAGATGGGGGGGGCATGATTTGACTCTCAAATGAATTCAGGTCGGTGACCTCTTGACAAGTCATCCTTTTATATCCATCTATTAAAACTTTTGATGGTATGTCGAGTTTTGGATCAGTTTCTTATGATGATTCATGGTCGTCTAATGATGTTACATACAGTCAACTCTACAGTTGTCATCCTTTATCAGTCACCAGGGGAATACTCAGTCTAGTTCTCTCTGTTTCCACACTCATGACCTTTTTTTCTGGGTCAATTTTTTACAAGTACATCTCATAGCTTGTTATATTCTCGGTGGTCTAAATCTTGTGGTGTATCGTCTCTCGAGGCCTGATAGGATACTACTTACAGAGTTGTCCCTTAATCTTCTGGTGTTCAAGTGGCTGTGTTCTCATCTGGGCACTCCTGTCCTTTCTATGCTTTTTTTTATTCTTTTTGCCACCTTCGTCCCTCTTGTCCTGCGGTCCTTCCTGATTGGGAACTGAATGTTGTTCTCCATGCCCTTACCTTTCTTCTGTTTGAACCTTTAGTCTCTTGTTTCTTGTACCATCTTTCGCTTAAGTCCTATTTCTTACTTTTTGCCTATAGCTGTATGAAATCTGATGTGTATGCCATTAATGTTTCTCATATTCTTTTCCATCATTCTTACATTCTTCATTATCCTGCTTGTGTTTTTCTCCCTCGAACATGTGTCTTGTGAAAGGAACAACACATTCACTCCTATTTGCCTTCCTTCCATTTTTCACTTTTATTCTTGTTCTGACCTGGATCATTTTCTCCATCCCATCCAATGGTTCATTGTTATTTGGCCCACATTGCTCCTTTTCACAGTTCACAATCTTGTCTATTTATTCTTTGGAACACTCCTTCTCTCCCCCACCTCCCCCCCCCAAAATATATTTCTCCTATTACCTTCACAGGATTGCTGCAGCAACTAATCCATCTAGCCTATGCCTTATTGGATGTAGATTCATATCTACTCAGGTCTCTTCTCACCAAATCTGATACATTACTCTCTCTCTGGCTGCACACTTCCATCATCCTTTGGAGGAGATCATGCAGACTGACATATGGACTGCCCTGCATACCTTTGTTGCACATTATCTTGATCATCTGGCCATCTCATCTTTTTTCGGGGGAAATCAACTTTCTCCCATTGCCATTCTATATACACCTTACTGGCTCTAACTGGGTAAATTATTTTTCTTTCTCTCTCACCTTTACAGGGATCCTATTCTACATCTCAGGATCCTGCTGAGTGGCATGTGGTGCCTACCAGGGTATACTTATACTTAAAATCTGCACCATGTGTCCATTCAGCATGTAAGGCTCACTGATGAGACAGGGTGTTCCATGAGACTGTTAGAGGTTTCCTCACATTATATTATTTGCTAAACAAGGCCCGATCCAGACTGTACCTACTGCTTAACTACCATGAGTAAAACAGTATCAAGATAGCTGCCCATCCTTCTGGTCCTGGTTGAATAAACTGGGATTGGCCTGCTTTTAAAAACAGTGTTTTGTGGTCACCCATTTCACTGTCTTAAGTTGTTGCATTCCTCTAGGCTCTCCAATGAGCTTTTACTCCCCTTCTTTGAGTGGCTTACAGGAGTCTTTACCGCTCACCAGTTTCTAGCTGTTGAGCTGGTGGACCATGGAGGTTTTCTCCTGATTATGACAAGTCCACTTAGTTGAGAGTAGGATGGTGGTGTACTGTTGGTTTAGATTGTGTGAACCCTCCTCCTACCTCAGGACTTAGGAAAAACTCCTGGTGCCACCTGGTTTTGGACTGGAGATGCCCAACCAAATATAGTTCACCCTTCCAATTGGCTTTCCCCCATCCTACTGCTGACTGGATCTCAGTATCTGGGCAGTCTAGTGTTGGATAGGTGCAGGACCAACCAACACAAATCCCCACTCATGTAGTTAGTATGAACCCTCCTCCTACTGTGGACTGGATGAAAAATACCCAATCCCACCTGGTTTTGGATTGGAGTTGACCCACCACATATGCTTTTCCCCCATCCTACCATTGCTTGGATGTCAGATTCCTGATTGGCCTAGTGTTGGATGTGTGCAGGGTCTGCACACTGAGC